GGCCATCGCTTCAGAAATTCCTCACATGTAGGGCAGGGAATAATATTTCCTCTGTGCCACTTCTCCACTTGAACTCTGATCTTGTGGTTGTCTCTGACGTCTGAGGCAGTTTTTCACGAAGCTGATCGGATATCCGTTAGATCAGAATAATTGGTATAAGTAGGCTAGTTCTCTCTTGAGTAGATACTGACTGCTACAATACCGAAAAGGGCGGTGAAAAAGAGTTCGAACACAGCTTTTTTGTGGGCCGCAGGATGATTGCTCCCGTAGTTGAGGATGATTTCGGCACTGGAGTCTTTTCTGTGGACGCTGGTCGCGAGATTGCCATCACTCAATCTTTGTACACTGACGTCAAGAAAAGGGAGGATGTCCTCTGTTGCTTCTTTGCGTGTGAATTGTATGGCGGGGAAGACACCGTTAAGACTCTGGTGCAGTCGTTCAACTTCGCAGTTTTTTATGACTACGAAGGTATCATCTATGTAGCGGAGCCACATCTTTGGTTTGATGGCTTGAATAACAATTTCTTCTAGTCTTTGTAAGACTAGTTCGGCGAGTAGGCCCGATATCGGTGAACCCATGGGGGTGGCCTTGACCTGCTGGTAATACTTGCCATCGAATTGACAATAGTTCTTAAGGCAGAGCCCAAGCATGTCTAAAACATGCTCTGTTGGAATGCCAATTGGAGTTTCCTCTAGGCGTCGAGCTACGCTCTCAATGGCCAAGTTATGCGTCATTGAGGAAAATAGAGCAACTTCATCAAACGATAAAATGCATTCATCAGGGCTTACAGTAAGGCCTTGGATCCTCTGAAGGAAAGCATGAGAGTTGTTGATGCTGTACTGCCATCCATTCATAAGGTGCTTTAGGTGCTTGTACAGCCACTTGGCAAGGTTATATTTAGGCGATCCAATGAGCGGTAATATGATCCTCAACGGTGCACCTACTTTGTGCACCTTTGGGAGGCCATAAGCATGTGCGATACGAGTGTCGTTAGGAGTCGGAAATTTGCAGTCCGCGGGGTTTATGAGCTTTTTACGAGTGAGCTTGTTCATCTTCTTCTTTATAGATGCGGCCTGCTTTTTTGTCGGATCCTCAGCAATTGGGGTATAGCCCTGTCTGTCATTAAAGGCTTGGTTGGCCTTATTGACATAGTCAGTCTTGTCCATAATGACAGTAGCACCACCTTTGTCAGCAGATACAACAACAATAGTGTCGTCTGACCTCAGGGATCGTAATCCCTTCTCCTCTTCCATCGGCAAGGTTTGCTGGTGTCTTCTTTTCCGGAGGAGGCCGGTCGCACAGTTGCGTATGTCTGCACGCATATCTTCAGGGATGGATGAGGTTAGCAGGAGGGATTCCAGGTTCGCTGAGAAATTTGTAGGCGCAGCATCGACATGACTAAACCGTATTCCTTTAGACAATAGGCTTGATTCGGCGGGTGTGAGAATCCTTTTCGAAAGGTTGACAACTCTCACAGATATGTTACTGTCATTGGTAGGACGGAGGAGAGCGTGGAGCTTCTCATGAAGATCGGCCCGCTTCTTCATACGCGCATGTTTGGCGGTGGCATTTATGCGCTGCAGTAAATTTTCGAAATTTTCTTCAGACAGGGCTGAAAAAAAACCGGCTCTTTAGGTCAGAGATTATCGCCTCAAATCGCTGAAGACGATGGTGGACGTCAGATATAATCGCACTCATAACACGGAATCCATATTTGCGAGCGAATGACTTCCCAGCCGCATTGGGCAGTGTGGGTTTGAAGCGAAGAGACCTCGGAAGAACGCCTTGATCGCGACAGCGGTGCAGGAAACTCAACTGTTCAAAGGTTGTCGCCTCTCTCTGCGCGAACTTCCCCAAGCGTCTGGTAAGAATAAGCGTTTGACGCCTAAATATATGTTGAATAACTGAGGTAGTATGCATTCCGAAATGATATGAAAAAGGGAGGAAGTCCGTCGGAAATAGAGTTATTCAAGCCATCAAAACAAAGATGTGGCTCCGCTACGTAGATGATACCTTCGTAGTCATAAAAAACTGCGAAGTTGAACGACTGCACCAGAGTCTTAACGGTGTCTTCCCCGCCATACAATTCACACGCAAAGAAGCAACAGAGGACATCCTCCCTTTTCTTGACGTCAGTGTACAAAGATTGAGTGATGGCAATCTCGCGACCAGCGTCCACAGAAAAGACTCCAGTGCCGAAATCATCCTCAACTACGGGAGCAATCATCCTGCGGCCCACAAAAAAGCTGTGTTCGAACTCTTTTTCACCGCCCTTTTCGGTATTGTAGCAGTCAGTATCTACTCAAGAGAGAACTAGCCTACTTATACCAATTATTCTGATCTAACGGATATCCGATCAGCTTCGTGAAAAACTGCCTCAGACGTCAGAGACAACCACAAGATCAGAGTTCAAGTGGAGAAGTGGCACAGAGGAAATATTATTCCCTGCCCTACATGTGAGGAATTTCTGAAGCGATGGCCCGACAACTAAACAGGTTTGGCATCTGCATTGCCCACAAGCCGGCGTCCTCCTTACGCGCAGCGCTATCCCGGGCAAAGGATCCCATACCCAAAGAACAACAAAGTAACGTCATTTACCGTATACCTTGAGCTAACTGCCGTTGCGTTTATATTGGTCACACGGGTCGACAACTTGGGACTCGCATTAATGAACACAAGTTAGCTATCCGCCGACGCGACCCCTTATCTCTCGTGTTTGCACACGCTCTTGATTGTGACCACCGTTTCAATTGGGACGGTACCGAAGTGGTCGCCATAGCTAACACCAAACATGCACGGAAATTCCTCAAAGCTTGGCACTCCGGTGCAGATAGCATTAACCGCCATGTTGACCTAGATGTCCAATACGAGGGTCTCTGATCACGGTGGACTGACTGGCGCCCACCATAAGAACAACAGCAGCTAATGCGTGCCCGGACATGCATGATCTCGCCGACACGCCATTCCTACCTCCCTGCCCTACTCCCCCCTCCCCCCCCCCAACACGGTGAACCACAACTGGGACACACAACATCTAACCTCACCTCCTGCACCCATCACAACACGATGCACACCTCCCCCTCACAAGGTCGTCTGCTTACCTCTTGTCTGTGTCCTCAACCAGCAGTGTGACAATACCACCTCTCAATTTTCATTTTGTCTGACGACGGGTTGGTGCAACCAGCTCGAAAATTCACGAGTAAAACTCTAATTCCGACGGACTTCCTACTTTCATATATATATATATATATATATATTGAAGAAGATGATAAGGCGATCTCTGGAGATGATGATCTATTCATCTGACGTTTCACACTCATACTCGAGCGCATCATCGGAGATAGGAAATTTGAGAAAATTACACTGTTTTAATAGGTCCGTCCCGCTCGCGCCTGATAGGGCCATCAATTTCTATCCTGATTTGGCCTCCGCTTGTGCGTAGGTGGTGTTTGGCGGTCTCGTATGGGGCTGGTAGGTCGACGCAGCGGTTTATGGAGTTGGCGTCTGTTTGCCAGCCCTCGATTATTTCTCGCGCTAGTCTGTTTTCCGCTCGGCCGAGCACTTGGGCGCCGTCAAAGTCAAACCGATGGTCATTTTCCAGACCTACGCACCAGGGGAGGCCCAATCAGGATTGAAATTGATGGCCCTATCAGGCGCGAGCGGGACGAACCTATTTAAACCGTGTAATTTTCTCATATTTCCTATCTCCGATGATGCGCTCGAGTATGACTGTGAAACGTCAGATGAATAAATCATCATCCCTAGAGCTCGCCTTACCATCTTCAATTTAAACACCTGGGGTCAGCATTTTCGCCTACATCCATATATATATATATAATTTGAAATCAAATAGATCTTTGGGAAAGAGAGAAAAATTTTTTTGAATAAATTTTCGATGTCAGTTCACCGTGTCGTCGTCAGAAAAGGGTAAATGTGCAGAAAACAATAAAAATTTCACAGGTGCTAAACCTTTGTATTTGAATACACTATGGTCCATGAATTCGCCCTCTCTTCTTCTTCGTCTTCTTCGGGAGATGATGAACGCGTTACAATGTCTGGACCTCGAATCTTTACGCATGTCGATGTATACTATGGGCGCACAGCCCTTCGCTCAGCACGAAGTTGGGAGACCTTAGCGAAGCGAGAGTCCTTCACCTACAGTAGATGTGCTAACTCATGAAATGTCAACCAAAGTTTCGAAATGCGTTCTCTTTTCGAAAAGATAAATTAAGTAGTGTTGTAAAACTTATCATGATGCAGCATAAATTTATAATGATCGAGTTACCTCAGGGTGTCTGCCTTCGAAAGAACTTACTTTCGGCTGCATGCAAGATGTGTACTCTGCAAAAAATGACTACTTAAGTAGTATTCAATTTTCTCATTGATTTTCGATGCCCTTAGAAATTCAATTATATTTCATGGAAAACATGCATAAAAAATATACATTCTTTTATTTATTCGGTAGAAAATCACGTCTTCTTCCAATTTCATACTCAAAAGAAGAGCATAATTTGGTTTTAAAAACGTTTCTAATTGTGAGATTTTTTAATACCGTTAAATGGCCGTTCATGAAACGTCATGTATCTGCATTTACGAATGTGGCTTGTAAAGTTAACAATATTACTCGACCGGAGGCCACCATCCACCGCTTAATCATGCAGCCTAAGTATCGGTTACCACCTGCAGACACGTTAGGCGTCATTTACCGCGTCAAATGTCTGGACTGTCTGGCCAACTACTGTGGCATGACCGACAATCGCCTAAGAACGCGCATGCATGAGCACACTTTGGCCGTAAGGCGAAAGGACGTACGATCGTATGTCGCCATGCACTGTCTGGAAAATGCAGTTACAACACAGAAGACGCACAGCCGGTGGACTTCATCGCTGCACTAGAAGCGACACTCTCAAAAACGGATACCACGGAAGTCTCAAGGAACGCGATTCGCCAACGAGTCGCGTCCCTCATCATATCCCACAGTTAAAGGCCATCAGGGAACTAAAGAGGGACGAAGAAATTGTCATTGTTCCAGTACACAAATGGCGGGCGACCGTAGTGCTAGGCAAGTCGGAGTACGTTGCAAAAGCGCAGCAGCTATTAAATGACAACCAATCGTATAAAATCATCGATTCCGACTTCAGTAAAGGACTGGTAGGCAAAATCAACAAGAGCGTGAACCAGATGAGGAAAGAAAAGGCCATATCCGAAAAGGATTGGAGAAAAATAAAACCGCAAGATGCTGCCTTAGCACGCTTTTATGGTTTGCCAAAAATCCACATGCCAAATATTCCCCTAAGGCCCATTGTGGCGATGGAAGGTACGCCTACATACGGACTGGCTAACTGGCTTGCCAAGCATTTGAAGAACTTGACGGACGGCTCATAACACACAGCCGTATCTTTAACACACTTTCTGGAAAAATTCAAAGGAGTTATAATAGCCCCCGACGAGGTAATAGTATCCTTTGACGTTGTCTATCTATTCACCTCCATCCCAAAAGAATTGGTCATGAAAGTCATCAATGACATACTGGATAAAGAACAACGAAGAGAGGAACCCGTTTATGAGGAAGCACCTGATGGAATTATTAGACTACTGCCTACGCACGTACTTCACTTTTAATGGTAAAATTTAAAAGCAAATCCAGGGAACCCCAATGGGATCCCCGATTTCCGACTATCTGGCTGAGGTGGTTATGCAGGAACTAGAAGCTCGAGACTTTCAGTCCTACAAGTCGAGGTTCTGGATGCGCTACGGAGACGACACCTTTGTCATCTTGCGCCGAGACGCAAATGACAACTTTAAAAGGGAGTTGGACTCCATCTTCCCACAAATTCAATTTACCATGAAGGAAGAAAATAACGGAGTGCCGACTCGAATGTCGGCCATCAAGCAATGATCACCCCAAGTGTGACAATCCCGGATGAAGGGGGAAGCCGTGAACGTTCATAGGCAGGCGGTAGCATGGCTGCTGCATCCTTAAATACCGCAGCCCCTTGTGCAACAACCACCCGTTTCTGCTCTTTTGTCTCTGATAATGGATTCGAATAGGAATCCGAAACGTCAGGCTAATAAAGTTCTTGTCCCGGCGATCGTGTCTCCTTCTTCAGGACTACTTACTGGGACTCGGCTCTTCGCTTCTATTGACAGAGAAAATTCTCTTCTACAAAAGCAACCACTCCCTGTCGCATAAACGTAGCTGCGTCCGGGCGCTTTTTCACCGCATCAACACACACTGCAGCCCAGAAGCCGAGAAGCTGCGGAATCGTGAAACCCTATTGCACCTCTTCCTTGCCAATGGATATCCACCCAATTTTGTGAACAAATGCTTATACCAAAGACATACGAGTGCCGACCGTGAGAATACGCAAAGACCTGAAATCTTCCGCGTGCTGCCTTACGGGAGAAACGTCTCCGAAGCCACTGAGCGCCTGCTAAGGCCCCTAAGCGTGGGTGTTGGACACCGACCGGAGACCACCATCCACCGCTTACTCATGCAACCCAAGGGCCGGCTACCACCTGCAAACACGTCAGGCGTCATTTACCGCGTCAAATGTCTAGACTGTCTGGCCAACTACTGCGGCATGACGGACACACGACTGCGCACACGCGTGCATGAGCACCCCTCAGCGATTCGAATCGGTCTTCATGCGGCTCCTTTTGCATGGGTGACTCGAGCCTGAGACTACACTGAAGCGTTAAGCGTCGCCGATTGGAAGGCTGCTGGTTGACGTCCCAACTTACTCCATGCAGTCCATCCAGTTGTATGTGTACGTATAATGGCGGACTGATGGACTGAGAGTTGGGCTGAATCAGCTCATTTGTTTATTGCCCTGAGCTTTCATACTCGTCCATCGTCAGAGGTAGTAGCAGCAGCAGAACAAGCAACAGTTATAAGGCATGTAGACCAATCATCGACCGACGGCAGAAGACTGGAGGTGACTACGCAGGGCACTGTACGCCTGCGTCAGATCGATAAATCAATTGACCGAGTTCTAATCCGAGGCCCAGGCTTCAATTAATTCTCGACCTGTTTTGTTTCCGGCGTGGGCGACTTTTCCGGTGACTTCGAAGTTAAACTCGTGACCCATTTCGTAGGTGTGTGCAGTTCCCTCTACGGCACTCCCACGCATGTGAGAGATACGTTGCCCTACCCTCGTTGTGTGAAATTGCGGTGTTTGTGTTTGGGTGACCAGGTCGTTCACGTGGTGTGGCGCAGACACGGTCACTAGACCATGTCATTCACCGGGACAATTCACCGCACCTGTCAAATGACCGCCTCGGACGGTGCATGGGGCTTGAGAATGGAAAGGGAGAGTGAGGTCGACGACTCAGTGCATTCGTCTCGCTACAAACAATCTGACATGCTGTCAAGGTACGCTAAAAGCCGTGGCTTGGAAGGCTGCCAGCTAAAGAGTTGACTTGGACCACTCAGTCGGGATGCGAGCTGGCGTGGGAGGCAGTCCTAGATGCGGCTTCGGCCATGCCAGCCTCCATTGTTTGTGCTGTAGTTGGTCAAAATCCTGGTCATATGCTGTGCGGACCAGGGGGTGCGGAGTGGAGCACCAAAATCGTGCCATCCACCTGCGCCCTCCTACGTCTCCGCATCCAAGACCATCAACTGGCAGTTAAGAGGTGAGAACACTTGTCTCAAATCGTCATGCGCGCTCTTGATTCTGGACACACTTTCACATGGGACAAAGCTTGCTTCATCGGAGTCTGCCCACATAAAAAGGCCGACATTTTCTTGAAGACATACACTCCGATGAGTCATGCATCAACGGGCATATCGAGTTAGATACCACGTACAAAAATCACAAGGAAAAAATGAAGACGAAAACCGATCAATAGAGAATGACGCACAAGACAGACGCTTACTGGCTAAAGCACCAAATGTTTATTGGTTTTGGAGAACGTTTGAAAAGTTAATGGATTTTTGCACATTTACTTGAAACAAAACACGGATTGTCGGTGTCTGTCCTTTCAAGAAAGAGCGAGAGTTCCCTTGGGCCATGCACTCGGATGAATCGTGCATCAACCGTCATATAGTGTTGGAGGCTGCTGAAAAAGTCTAAAGGAGAAATGGAAGAGACGAGAGACAAACGGAGTAGAATGACGCAGAATGCGGCCGCTCACGGGCGTAAACACCAATGATTATCGATTTTTCGAGTGCAATGCCAGATGTTAACTGTAGTCGGCATATTTACTCCCAGTTTGCGTCTGAAGACGACCTGGGAAACCGGCGTCGAACATTTACCAAATAAAGTTCTTTTTTCCAAAACAACACCTTCGAATTTAAATTAAGTTTCTTGAAATGCCTATCTCCCTATATATATATATATATATATATATATATAATGTTAGGGGGCGCTCACCGATCGTTCATACGGAACTCACTCGTTCCGTTGTGCCTTAAGGGCTCTCTTTTGAGCCCAACCAGCAGCCGCGCAGCGGCCCATTATATATAGGCAGAATGATATCACCGACAAAGACAAGGGAGACTGGAGACTAGAGGCGTTGACTTCTAAACCAGCAGGTCGCGAGTTCGAGGCTCGGGTGTTCCACACTTCGGGCATGGGTATGGCTGGCTGACGACAGTTAATAAGCCAGAAATGGCCATTCCAGTCTCCCTTGTCTTTTATGGTAATATCATTCTGCCTATATATCATGCGCCGCTGCGCGGCTGCTGGTTGGTCCCGAGAGAGAGCCCTTAAGACACAACGGAACGAGTGAGTTCCGTATGAACGATCGGTGAGCGCCCCCTAACATTGTATATTCCCGATCGAAAACCGACAGGACAACGGGCTCGTGGCCCGGTGATTAGAGTCGTTGACTACTAAACCAACAGGTAGCGAGTTCGAGGCTCGGGTGTTCCACATTTCGGGCTTGGGTATGGCTGGCTGACGACGGCCAATAAGCCAGAAATGGCCATTCCGGTCTCCCTTGTCTTTGTCGGTAATATCATTCTGCCTATATATATATTTATATCCCGAAGAAGACGAAGAAGAAGAGATGGCGAATTCATGGACCATATTGTATTCGAACTGACACTTCGGATACTTCCTCGTAATTAATGTACTTGCCGGTCTTGACTTGTTCAATCTTGCCGCTTGCCTCGTATTAATGCCGTGCTCGACGTACGAAATTTGACCTGCCTGTTTGCTGCTGACTAGCGTAGACCTCCCCGGGGCTGACCGCTGACAGGCCTGCGTGACCTTTGTTCCCTTTGGGGTCGGCGCAATTGTGGTCAAATCAACGTGCCTCTTGGCCTCCCCCACGTCAGCCGGTGGACTGATCGGTCGTTGCTGTTCAGGTGAGCAGCATTCAGCTTCGCGGGCGCATCGGTGAGACAATGTTCGGCTTCGGTCACATGACCTCTGGCCCCCAATTCCGCTCTTTTCCGTGAGCGTTGACTCTCGGTCCCGCATGCTCGCTTGCCTTACTGGTCCTGTCCGGACTGATCCGAGCCTCGTACGAAGCGCCTGGTAGGCGGGATGTAGATCTATAGCTCGATTGACTGTACCAGTCGAGGACTAACTTTCGAGCACCATTCTGGCCATCTTCTCATTGGCTCTACCAATTACCCTCACTTTCTCAAAGGCAAAATCGTGGTTCAGTTCTCGTATGTGACCATAGACCAAAGACAGCTTGTCCTTGCGATTGATTGCAAGTTGGTGTTCGTGAAATCTTGTGCCGAGGCGTTTGCCCGTTTCACCAACATACCTTGCATTGCAATTTAGGCATGGTATGCTGTAGACCACCGCCGACTGTTCTGTTGTTGGTAGCGGGTCTTTGGGCTTCATGATTTGCTGTCTGATGGTGCATTCTGGATTATGAGCCACGCCAATCCCAAAAGGTTTCAGGATTATTGCCGTTGCCTCTGATACGTTCTTCACATAGGGTATTGAGAGCCAGAACTTGGGCTTTTCTCCACTCGACAGCTCACAATGAGGCTGTTTGAGGCAATTGCATATGAAGGACTTCGGGTAGCCGTTGGCTTTAAAAAGGGCCTGTAAGTAATTCATCTCCTCCTTCCTCCCACTGTCGTCGATACAGTGTGTTTGAACACGTTGAAAGAGAGTTCTGACACAACTGCGTTTATGACCAACAGGGTGGTTGCTTCGGAAGTGGAGGATGCGCCTGGTATTTGTTGCCTTACGGTAAACCGTTGTCCTTATCTTCCCGTCTGTCAATCTCGTAACTTTTACGTCCAGGAAGGGCAACTGATTGTTGACTTCCTCTTCCATAGTAAACTGAATGTCGGGAAATTGGTAATTGGTAGAGCCAATGAGAAGATGGCCAGAATGGTGCTCGAAAGTTAGTCCTCGACTGGTACAGTCAATCGAGCTATAGATCTACATCCCGCCTACCAGGCGCTTCGTACGAGGCTCGGATCAGTCCGGACAGGACCAGTAAGGCAAGCGAGCATGCGGGACCGAGAGTCAACGCTCACGGAAAAGAGCGGAATTGGGGGCCAGAGGTCATGTGACCGAAGCCGAACATTGTCTCACCGATGCGCCCGCGAAGCTGAATGCTGCTCACCTGAACAGCAACGACCGATCAGTCCACCGGCTGACGTGGGGGAGGCCAAGAGGCACGTTGATTTGACCACAATTGCGCCGACCCCAAAGGGAACAAAGGTCACGCAGGCCTGTCAGCGGTCAGCCCCGGGGAGGTCTACGCTAGTCAGCAGCAAACAGGCAGGTCAAATTTCGTACGTCGAGCACGGCATTAATACGAGGCAAGCGGCAAGACTGAACAACTCAAGACCGCAAAGTGCAACAATTACGCTAATCTGATGATGGAAACGAGGAAGTTTCCGAAACGTCAGTTCGAAAACAACATGGTCCATGAATTTGCCCTTTCTTCTTCTTCGTCTTCTTCGGGAGATGATAAACGCGATATATATATATATATATATATATATATTGGATGGAGCCGACAAAGACAAGTGAGACCGGACTGGCCATTTGTGGCATATTAGCTGTCATCAGCCAGTCATACCCAACCCCAAGTGTGGATCACTTGAGATTCGAACCCGGGATCCTTGGTCATGTAGTTTGAGCTCTACCATTGAGCCACGGGTCCGTTGTCATGTCGGTTGTGATCGGCAATATCAATTATGACAGTGGGCGCCCGCGGACCAGGTGTCGGATCGTGCTCGTTCCGTTGTGCCTTGGGGCTCATACCAGGACCGTCGCAGGCAGTCGCACATCGACTAGTAGTAGACAGAGATGAGATGGAGCCGACAAATTCAAGGGAGAGCCTGTTCCGTAACCTGATCGGCGAGCGTCCACTGTCATAATTGACATTCCCGATCACAACCGACAGGACAACGGGCCCGTGGCTCAATGGTGGAGCTCAAACTCCATGACCAAAGATCCCGGTTTCGAATCTCAAGTGATCCACACTTGGGGTTGGGTATGACTGGCTGATGACGGCTAATAAGCCAGAAATGGCCATTCCGGTCTCCCTTGTCTTTGTCGGCTCCATCTTATCTATGTATACTACTAGTCGCTGTACGACTGCCTGCGAGGGTCCTATTATGAGCCCCAAGGCACAACGGAACGAGCACGTTCCGTAAACTGGTCGGCGAGCGCCCACTGTCATAATATATATATATATATTCACGCAGGAATGGGCGCACACCTATTCATTGGCTTCCAGATGCAAACAAGCCTCGTATGGGCGATAGGGGCACGAACAGGCAACCACGTACCAGGCCGAAGTTGGCCAAGATATGTTCGTGATCCCTATCGCCCATGCGAAGCTTGTTTGCTTCGGGAAGTCAATGGATCGGTGTGCGCCCATTCCTGAGTGAACAAATACCCGATCTGCAGCGACAGAGAATGGCAGGTGGCGAGGCACTGATGAACTTCGGTTCGATGAAGTGCTTATGACCCATCTGGTAGGCCTCAGTGCTGGACCGACTGCGCCAGGTGCGTCTGTGCGCATGTTTGTGTTTCTGGTCTCAGCTGCTGGTGGTCAGGGTTATGATTGGCTGAATGAAGGCAGAATAAGCCCGAAATAGTGCTGTATCAATCTACCCGCATTCTCTGTCGTCCCTTCTCGCTGCTATTATGACTTGGCCGACTTCGGCCTGGTAATTGGTTGCCTGTTCGTGACCTTTGCCACACATACGGAGCTTGTTTGCTTTGTGAAGCCAATAGATCGGTGTGCGCCCACTCCTGATTGATAAACACCCGATCTGCAGCGACAAAGAATGACAGGTGGCGAGGCACTGATGAACTTCGGTTCGATGAAGTGCTTATGACCCATCTGGTAGACAATAGTGGTGGACCAGCTGCGCCAGGTGGGTCTGAGCGCATGTTTGTGATTCCGGTACCAGCTGGTGTTCAGCGTTTTGATTGGCTGAATGAAAGCAAATGAGCCCGAAACAGTGCTGTATTAATCTACCCCCCGCAACCTCTGCAGTCTCCTCTCTGATATATATATATATATATATATATATATATATATATATATATATATATATATATATATAAGAAAGGTGAAGTACTTTGGGAAACGGGAAAATTTTATTGTGAATTTTCGAGACTGGTTCCCCAGCTCGTCTTCAGACAAGGGGCGTGCAGAAACAATTAACTTCCAGACTGAGTCTGGCAAAAGGATTCCATGATTGGTTAAGGTCGTCATCTCGGGATTGGTTGACGCAGTTTGAATCTGTCCTTAACGATTTTGTATGTGGCATCTAAATCGATATGCCGGTTGATGCATGCCTCATCTGAGTGCATTGCCTCCAGGAATTCGCGGCCTTTCCTTGTTTGGCTGGCGCCAACAATGCGAGTGTTTTCCCATGCGAATTTATGCCCAGTGTCCAGTGTGTGCATGGCCACCTGGGATAGATGGTCGCGTCTCTTCACCGCTAACTGATGCTCATGTAGACGGGTTGAGACAGATTTCCCAGTTTGGCCACAATAAACGGCATCACAACTAGAACATGGCATTTTATAGACAACACCTTTTCTTTCCAGATAGCCAACCCTGTCCTTAGGGTGTACAAGCTGTGTGCGTAAGGTAGTTGTCGGCTGGTGTGCTACGTGTATCTGGTACTTTTTCAATTGTCTTTCGACTAATTCAGATACATTCTTGACGTATGGGAGAGTTCGCCATGTGGTTAGTTTTGGTGCCTGAGCGGCCGCAGCATTGGAAATCCCTTTTTCCTTGAGTTGCTGGTGCCTCATGCATTGACGTATAAAGTCATGCGGGTACCCATTTTGGGAGAACAGTTTGTAGAGGTATTTCATTTCTGCTCTATAACTTGTTTCATCAGAGCAGTCAGTTTTGGCTCGATTCAGAAAGCTGTAGACTGTACTCCGTTTGTGAGAGACAGGGTGGTTACTCTCAAAGTGTAGGATGACATCTGAATACGCCTCTTTGCGATAAACTGATGTCTGAAGTGATCCATCGGTTTTTAGACGTACAAGGACATCCAGGAATGGGAGTTGTCCATCGACCTCTGTTTCGAAAGTAAATGTAATTCCTGGAAATACCGAGTTAATATTGGTATGGAGCAGATTCAACTGATCTTTCTTGACGATGACGAAATTGTCAATTTGCAAGATATATGGTCTTCCCGAAATTCATAAAACTGATATTCCTCTGCGACCGATAGTCTCCCTAATAGATGCACCCAACTATAAGATCTCGAAGTGGCTATTCCACCAACTACATCCACTTACGAAGAACTCCGAAAACTACATTCAGGATCCAAAAGCGTTTCTAGACAAATTAAACGGTGTCAACATTACATGTGACGAGATTATGGTGTCATTCCATGTGGTCTCGCTCTTCACTTCGATTCCACTAGATTTAGCGAAAAGCTGCACCGAAGAACTCCTTCAAACATATACTTCTGAGGTGCCTCCAGAGGCTTTACTTCAACTCCTTGATCTCTGTCTAGAGACAAATTTTTCCTTCTCCAATCAATGCTACCGGCAACTAAAAGGGGCTCCCATGGGCTCACCAATATCCGGTTTCCTGGCAGAAGCATTACTGCAGAAATTAGAGAGCATAGCCCTTCCCACAGTCAACCCAAAACTTTGACTGCGATACGTAGATGACACTTTTGTCATCGTCAAGAAAGATCAGTTGAATCTGCTCCATACCAATATTAACTCGGTATTTCCAGGAATTACATTTACTTTCGAAACAGAGGTCGATGGACAACTCCCATTCCTGGATGTCCTTGTACGTCTAAAAACCGATGGATCACTTCAGACATCAGTTTATCGCAAAGAGGCGTATTCAGATGTCATCCTACACTTTGAGAGTAACCACCCTGTCTCTCACAAACGGAGTACAGTCTACAGCCTTCTGAATCGAGCCAAAACTGACTGCTCTGATGAAACAAGTTATAGAGCAGAAATGAAATACCTCTACAAACTGTTCTCCCAAAATGGGTACGCGCATGACTTTATACGTCAATGCATGAGGCACCAGCAACTCAAGGAAAAAGGGATTTCCAATGCTGCGGCCGCTCAGGCACCAAAACTAACCACATGGCGAACTCTCCCATACGTCAAGAATGTATCTGAATTAGTCGAAAGACAATTGAAAAAGTACCAGATACACGTAGCACACCAGCCGACAACTACCTCACGCACACAGCTTGTACACCCTAAGGACAGGGTTGGCTATCTGGAAAGAAAAGGTGTTGTCTATAAAATCCCATGTTCTAGTTGTGATGCCGTTTATTGTGGCCAAACTGGGAAATCTGTCTCAACCCGTCTACATGAGCATCAGTTAGCGGTGAAGAGACGCGACCATCTATCCCAGGTGGCCATGCACACACTGGACACTGGGCATAAATTCGCATGGGAAAACACTCGCATTGTTGGCGCCAGCCAAACAAGGAAAGGCCGCGAATTCCTGGAGGCAATGCACTCAGATGAGGCATGCATCAACCGGCATATCGATTTAGATGCCACATACAAAATCGTTAAGGACAGATTCAAACTGCGTCAACCAATCCCGAGATGACGACCTTAACCAATCATGGAATCCTTTTGCCAGACTCAGTCTGGAAGTTAATTGTTTCTGCACGCCCCTTGTCTGAAGACGAGCTGGGGAACCAGTCTCGAAAATTCACAATAAAATTTTCCCGTTTCCCAAAGAACGTCACTTTTCTTATTATATTTCTTGGGATGCCGGTTTTTCAATATATATATATATATATATATATATATATATATATATATATATATATATATATATATATATATATGCCGAAACCAGCTTCCATTGGACTTGTTTGAATCTCTGAACGAAAGCATCACCTGTGTCTCACAACTCGAACGACATTAAAAGCGGAGTATTTTAGACAAGATTGGACGACCATTTCTCAGAAAGCTGATGCAAGCCAGAAGTGCCCAGCGAAGGTCGTAAACCTATCCTCGAGACTTCTTTCACCATCAGAAGGGAATGTGCTTTCTAAAGGGATGAATTGCAATCTTTCTGATTCAAATTTCTTGGACTTCCTCGCAAGCTTGTAATCCATCATAGCAACGGCAGACCTCACCGAAGACGAAAAATTTACAATCCGAAACACGACAGTAAACGCCCTGAAAGACCGAAGTCAGTTTACCGTACTATCACGTGAAGAACAGAAAGCCTTAAGAGCCCTAAGAACTGACAAAAATATTATCGTTCTCCCGGCTGACAAAGGTGGCTATGTTGCGATTTTAAACAAACCAGACTACAATGCAAAGATGCTATCATTATTAGAAGATGGATCAACTTATAAACCACTTCCAGCGGATCCTACCAAAGCACAGATCTCGTCTATTGACAAAGTGTTGAAGCGCCTCACTGGGAAAAAACAACTGTCGGGAGAAATTGCTAAGTTCCTGAAACAAACTGAGCCCACAATTGCTAGGATCTATGGACTACCTAAAGTCCACAAAGCTGAAGTGCCTTTACGACCGATTGTATCGTTAATCGGGGCACCCAACTACAAAATTTCAAAGTGGCTCTTCCGCAAACTTCATCCACTTACGAGGAATTGTGAAACGTCGATTGAGAACTCTACGGAGTTTCTAAAGAAATTAAAAGGAATCACAGTTTCCTCCGACGAGATAATGGTCTCCTTCGATGTCGTCTCCCTTTTCAGTCCATACCGTTGGATCTGGCAAAACAATACACAGAGGACCTCCTGAAGTCCTGTGACACGGATGTTCCCGCTATTGCCTTACTCGAACTCTTAGACCTGTGTATGGAAACCAATTTTTCGTTCGACCAACAGTACTACAAACAACTGAAAGGAGCCCCGATGGGATCACCTATCTCTGGCTTCCTCACCGAGATCACAATGCAGAAACTAGAGACCATGGCTCTTCCGTCAGTTAACCCTAAATTGTGGCTGCGGTACGTGGACGACACATTTGTGATCGTTAGAAAGGATCAACTAGAAACGCTCCACAAAACCATCAACTCAACAATGCCGTGGATTAAATTCACACTCGAGAAAGAAGTTGACAATAAACTCCCATTTTTGGATGTTCTCGTGCAGCGGAAGACCGACGGGACATTGCGCACATCGGTGTACCGCAAAGAAACCTATGCGGAAGTCATTCTACACTACGAGAGCAACCACCCCATTTCCCACAAACGGAGTACGGTCAACTGCCTGCTTAATCGAGCAAAAACACACTGCTCGGACGAAGAAGACTACCGAGCCGAACTAAGCTACTTGTGTGAATTATTTTCCCGAAATGGGTACCCAAAGGACTTTGTGCGTCGATGCATGAGACAGAAAGAGTCAAAGGAAAGGGAACAAAGAATTCCCAGTCAGGCACCCAAGCCAAATGCATGGCGAACCCTCCCTTACATCAAAAACGTTTCTGAACTCGTGGAAAGGCACCTAAAGAGGCACCAAACTCTGGTGGCACACAGACCAACGACTACACTACGTACTCAGGTAGTACACCCTAAGGATAGGGTCGGCTATTTGGATAGAAAGGAAGTCATCTACAAGATCCCATGTGAGGCCTGTGATGCAGTTTATTGTAGTCAAACAGGAAAATGTGCCTCTACACGCATTCACGAACACCAACTTGCAGTAAAGAGGCGAGACCACCTGTCTCAAGTAGCCATGTATACCCTGGACACAGGGCATACGTTTGCTTGGGATAGAACACGGATTGTCGGTGCCTGCCCCTTCAAGAAAGGCCGACAGTTCCTTGAGGCCATGCACTCGGATGAATCGTGCATCAACCGTCATATCGAGTTGGACGCCGCGTACAAAAGTCTCAAGGAGAAGTGGAAGAGGCGAGAACCAATCGGGACGGATTGACGCAAATAGCGGCCGCTCACGGGCGCAAACGCGAACGACTATCGATTTTTTGCGTGCACTGCCAGATGTTAACTGTTGCCGGCACATTTACTCTCAGTCTGCGTCTGACGACGACGACCTGGGGAACCAGCGTCGAAAATTCACGCAATAAAGTGCCTTTTCCCAAAGAACGCCTCTGCCTTCAACTTATTTTTCTTGGGATGCCTACCTTCCAATACACACACATATATATATATATATATATATTACGTAGGCAGCCCGCTAAGAGTGCAACAGACGAAACGCAGACATTAGTTTCACGGTCGTTACCGATCGTCAGTACGTCACAGACCTTACGAAGTGAGGTAAACAAGCATGTCATGTGGGCGTTAGACTCTCACTGTTGTGGTTAGGATCTCACTCGATCCCGTTGTGGCGGTGGAAGTGGAGGAGGAAGATGAGCGGGAGGGGAAAGAGGAGGAGGAGGATGGTGGTGGCGATTAATGAAGGCGATCAGAGTTAGGTGGCGGCGTAGAGGACGAGGTAGAGGTAGACGGAGGGGCGGTGGTAGGTGCGGTCCGAGTAGTGAAGTTGATCCGAAGTTGTTTGACAAATTCAATCGGCGCCCGGAATGTCCGTTGACACTGTGAATACGTCGACTGTGGTCGTGCGTTGGAATTGCGACTTGGGTGCAGCTGTGACTTGCGTGCTTCGCGTTTGTCTTTTGCGCCGCCAATGCGGCTGGCCTGGTAGATCACAGCACCTGACTTCACTGTCCTCGTCCAGGTCGGTCGGTCTTGGGCGAGGTCTACCTAGTTTGCCGGAATGGTTTACAGGCGCTTCTGGGAGGACATAATAGTATCATTGTATCGCTAAATTTGGCCTCATCCGCGGCGGTGACCCGTGACGACACCTCCATAGAGGAGCCTTTTGGGGAGCCGCTCGTCGCTCCTCCGCACGAGATGGCCGCACGAACGCAGTTGCAGTTGTCTCAGCATGGTGTTGATGCTGAGGGTTCCCGTTCGCTCCCCTACGTCATTGTTCGGGATTCGGTCCAGCCAACCTAGCTCCAATATGTGAGGAAGACAACTGAAGTGGAAGGGATTGAGTCGGCGTGCCTGCCCTGTGCACACCGTCCGAGTTGCTGCTCCATGAAGCAGCGTCGGAGGATGACGGCCTTGTACATCTTTAATTTCGTGCTGAGCTGAAGACCGTGACGATTCCAAACTGTGCTTTGAAGACGGCCTAAGGCTTGACTGGCCTTCGAGATCCGACGGGCGACTTCATCGTTGATGTTGGTGTTGCGGGGAGGGTGCTACCAGACACCTGAAGTTGTCCAGCACCTGTCGCTAAGTTCCATTCACGTTGATTTGTGGCGCATTGTGGGGAGTGGCTGTTTTGAGTGGCGGTCTTCTCCGTGTTAATGACTAGATCTGTATATACTTTTAAAAAGGGGCTGGAACAACATGGGAGTGCGCGCCACAATGCCACACGACTTCAGCCGTCTTGATTGCCAATGTCGACAACTTGATGATACCGCGACGCTACTACCGGTATTTAAGTAGAAAATGTTCATTTAATTTATTAACTTTATAACTGCAACGCACACCGCTGATGTCATCTACCAAGGTGCTAGCAGACTAGAATTCTTATTAATTTCCCGTAGTGTAGGTTTGCTTCAAATATTTACCGCATTAATTTGGCGAAAAAGATGTGCTCACCGGTTCTGGCTTATTTGGTTGCTGCGGTTTTGAAGAGCTTAATCGGCTCCCATTGTCAAGACGTAGCATGCGCTTAACCGACTAGAAACTGAATTGGCATGTCGAGTTGGTCGGTACCATGCTGGCCGATTTTCCTCTCCTCTCCCTGTCTCGGCTTCTCGAAGGATGGTCGGCCGGCTTTTTATCTGTGTGCTTTTTGAGTCACCGCTTCGTCGGGGAGGTGACTGAACCTTCGTCGGGCAGTCGATCAGGTGGTTCTTTTTCCTCACCGAGTATACTCGCCGTCGGCCTGTCTATTTATAGCCTTTTTAAGTACAATGTGTTTACTTGGTCCTGAGATTAACGGACGTAATGACGTGGGATTCTGTAGGCCGCAGGAAGGTGCCGATGCATATTGATGGAATTGGCATGGGTGTTAGTCACTCTGCTTTTGTTTTGCCCAGGCCGAAGATGGATGTTCGGTCGTTTTAAGTTTTTGGCTGAGGGCTCAGCAAAAGCAGTACCATCTGCGAAGCAATTCCTCGAGCGCGTAAAATACCTGAAGTTATATATAGACGGATCCATGTTATTCTTGATGTCGTTTCGCAATTCAACTCCATTGCACAGCAGCCAGCGGTAGAAACTGTGAACCAACCCCTGGCTGAGGGTATTATGGGAGGGATAAGCCATTGAAGTCGGAATATTTGCTCGAGCTTCTTTAATGTAGGCCTTCAAGTCCTAGCTCTCCTTTGGTGGACAGATGTACGAACAAATTAAAGGCCGTCCTACGCTAACCTTAACCCTGACCATCTAACTTTAACCATAATCCTGTAAAGCTAACCTTCTTACCTATCCGGAATCCTCCTTCCAACAATAACTCTATCGCACTAAACTAACCCCAACCCATTAACTCCTAACTTAACCCACTAACCATAACCTAGCCCTTGGCCGTTTTCTCTGGACTTACCCTACCTCTAACTGACTACTGAGGAATATAGATTTTGAAATGGCTCTCAAGGCACTGAGAGAAGAAACGTTTTGCTCCGACGTTTCGGATTCTCAATTGATCTAATATTGAGAGGCCATTGCAGATAAGCGCAGTGGCGCAGATCATTCAGCATTTCTAGGACTTAGTTGTCATGTCATACTTGCCTATTAGCTATGGCGATCACTATTTGGGATCGAATTTGCTGCGACAGTGCTGGCCAGTCAGTGCCGATTAGTTCATTTGTTGTCAGTTCTGGCGTGATGATAACCCTGCAGTCTGTACGCTTTCAGTGCGAGTGCTACCCCATAGAAGTAAAGAAATAATTGCAAGAAGACATAATCGCTGGAACAAGACTTGTATTCGCAAGACGCTTCAAAGGCCTGCCAGAAGGCGTCACGAGAACATTTCATGCAAACAACGGTATACATAGGATGCAGTCACCATGTTACCGCATACTTATAGACATTACCAGTTTCAACCCTTTTCTGGGAGGCTACTTCTTTTGGTTGGATGACTGTCCGATGGCCGAACTGGCATACTCGCGTGCAAGACGTTAGGGGGTTATCAGACTTCATCAATTTTAAGTAAGATACGGATCTTGAATTTGCATGCAAACCTCGCCGCAACCGCCTAAAAGTCCAAAAAACCATCTAAGTCAGTTACCTGCCAATCATTCTGGAACTGTTTTTTCTGAACGTCCATCTTACTGCTTTCTCATTCTGGATGACCGTGTGAACCGCTGCTAATCAAACTCCCATGACCCATGTTTCAATGATCTGTTTTCCACCTGTGGCCGCCTTGACCTGTTTCTAAGGGACAAAAAGCAATGTTGACATCGACAGAATGTATGACAGACCAGGCGTTTGCACTAAACATAATGTTCAATAGATCAATTCACTGGAACGAATTCATTAATTAAAAAAATCGTGCTCTGCTCAATGTTCTTTTCATGCTTGTCTGACTTAGCGTATTTCCATCTTAGATTTATTCATTGTTTAGGCCCAATAAAGACAGCTGTTCGGAATCTGGAGGAAGTATGAATCTTTTGGTTAAAATATGCTGAAATCGGTGCATATGCTGGATAGTAAGGCGCCGTTCGGAAAGTAGCTGCCGACATCCTTTGCACTGTTACTTCAACGTCTACGAATTGATCGAGGGTGTTTGCCTCTGAGGACACCTAACACAAAACTTTATATAACACTGAAGTGCTCTCCTGTGTTCCCACCTATAACTGCCACGTTTTCTTCACCAGCAAGCAATTTCAATGCTTGACTCTTTGTCTCGTTTCCACGTATGTTTACAAAATTTTCGTTTGTGTTAGACTTTTCAGCCAAGATTGAATCCAAATGTGCTGCATCATTCGAACAAGTAATGCATGTCCATCCTATTTAATGTTCACGCTGATGTCCACGTTACACTGGTAAAAGACATCCTGTTTCAAAACTTGGGCAACCTGTTCTTCATTGATGACCCAAATGCGATTAAACTCGCGTCGTCCGGCGGGTCCTCGTAGCTCAGGTGGTTAGAGCTGTACTAAAGCCTTCCCCTTACTGCGTGTGTTCGAATCCCACCGAGGCGCCGAGTTTTTCACAGTTGGGTCAATATAAAACTGTTCTTCAAATAATATTGTGTAAATATGTAACCATGCCAGCCTCATCATTAACAAGGAGAAGATTGGAGCACCGGAACATTTTGTTTATTTTACTGAGCATTTAGGCTCGATGGTGAATCGAAGGATAATAGATGAAATTGGAAATCTTACACGTGAGACCTCCGCCAGAAGGAATTCTATGGCGTGCATACTCAAGAAATGCTGTGCATGATCTATTGCGGTCGTGGGTCGAAATGCTAATTTAAATGAATTCAAGTTTGAATTTTTTCGATATTGCGCAGTTGCTATCCGTTTTCCAGACCAGTGAATCAGGCTTACATGTTGCCCCGGCAATGTGACATGCTGCAGGAAAACTCCATCGTACCTAGCCAACCATGAAGTGCGCCTAAAAAATCATTAAAATTGGTCAAGTCAACCTGCTTATCAGTTAAACTCAAATGTAGTTTCTCCTTACCCTTAATTTCCCTAAATTGTTTGGTGTTTTGCTTAGAACGTAGCAAAGTTATGCATATATTTAGCGTTTACAAACTTTTTTTTAAAAAATACAGGTACACTGTATTCACTGCTGATGCTGAAACATATGTAGCCTCCGAAAACAAATGCGAATCACTGCTTTTATCTGCAAAATTGCATCAACATTGATAAGATCTATCTACTAGTTTAAAAAAATTCATGATCAGTGGATTTACTGTAATTTACCAAGAACTGTTTTTACGAACGCCGTCATCAACTAGAACTTAGGCTTATGCGAATCAGGCCTGCGGCCGCGCATAATCAGTCCCTTATAAAGGAAACCTTGTTTTACTTGCGGCCACTTCTTTACGAAATTCGCCAATTGTGAAGGTTTATGCGCGGGCTCTTGCCAAGGAAATGATAAGTTTCAGTCCTATGTGTTCCTACCTCTATTTTGAGCCCTATTTGTTCATCCAAGAGAGAAACGTAAACACCATTTTGTGTCTAAGAAGGAATCATTACGAATTAGAAATGAAATATTTGTGCGAGTTGAACACAAATTTGAAAAATATCATAAAGCATATATTTTGTTGACAAAGTCGTGGTTATCGATAGTACTGCCATGCGTTTGCCCGCTATTTACCGCAGATGGGCTAATGCGATGCCATTAAAAGAATCATACATTAAAGCTGCGCAAGAAACCTATGGAATGAAACACACAAATTCTGACTGTAAACGCGGTCCTCCGGGA